AACAACAACAACAACAACAACAACAACAACAACAACAACAACAACAACAACAACAACAACAACAACAACAACAACAACAACAACAGCAACAACAGCAACAGCAGCAGCAACAACAACAGCAATAACAGCGGCAACAACAACAACAGTAACAACAATAACAACAGGAACAATAGCAGTTGCGACAACAACGACAACGATAGCAGTATATATTTTCAGAAATCTGAATATTTTGTTGCTGTTGTTTTTGCGCTAGCTGTTTTATTCAGTTCATTGTATCTACGAGGGTTACCTTCTACAAAAGTACTTCAGTTACGCAGTCGTCTAATTGCTGCCGCTGTTACAGGTAATTTCTTTAAATTTATTATATCCAATGAATCCTTAATTTATATATAAACGTGATATAACTTCATTTCTTTCTGGTATAAAGTTTTGTCTTCTTCTCCTATTTATTTGCAAAAAATTAAAATTTCACAAATCAGAATTTGATATATTTGTAAGATATAAAGTGCTGATCTTCGGATTTGAGTGCAATAATGTGACGGTTAGTATTACAAACCATCCAGACCACATCTTTAGACAGTGCGGTCGGAAATAATGCTGTAAAGTCCAAAAAAAAGAAAAGGAAAAAAACAAAAGCTTGAAGATAGTCTGTTTTACTTTTTAAATAAATGCCATTTCTTTTGTTACTTCTACAGTTTTCCATACTTTATCGCCATGACCAGTGAAATTCGATGGAGTAATCTGATGTGATCAGATGTCTGATAGTTGAATATTGATCTTTTGAGAAAGGGACAAAAAAACAGTCCTTTAATTAATTAATTTAATTCACATGTTTGCTTAAGCTATCGGAAGTAACACTTCATTTTTGCAATGAAACCTTCATTTGTTTATTGATCGATTGGAATATAATTTTTGAATTTTAGTGGGCCAAATTTATGATATTTCATAAAATAATGGATAAAGGGGACACTACAAATAGAATTTGCGGTAAATAAAAAGTAAGCTGCAACTTTCATTAAAATTTCAAATTTTACCAAACTTAATTTTTCTATCGTTTTCTATCGTACTTTTTTGCGCTGAATTTGAAAAGTCCAAGATATAGTTGAGCCAAGAGAGAAAAAGAGATATCCTGGTATTTAATTGGAGAACGCAAAAAATTCTTACGTCGTTCATATGAGTTAACACGGTCGATTTTAGCATAATGAAACCAATTTCATTCATTCATTCATTCTTTCATTTTTTTTTTAAATATATTAATGATTGATAGAGGAATGTGTGTAAAGGATTGATACGTATAGTTGCAGCTGTTGAATGTCCTTCCATTTTACTTCTTATATGGATTTTTATCATATTAGCATCGGCGGTAACCTTTTTTCTCTTTTTCGATTGACACTTTTTATGTTTATTAATCAATCTTCAATTCCATTCAGTTCTTCTCTTAATAGTAATACTTTTTCTTTTTGAATAAACTTTTTCTATCACATCCTTTCTAACAGTTGAAAAAACTACAAGCATATTTGTGTTGGCTCTTTTTATAAATGGTTTTTTTTATTTTTTCCTTCTCATTACCATTTACATTCATCACTGCAAATGATTGCGACCAAACTGTAGAAATGGTAAGCCGTGACTTTTTTTTTTTGCGTAACGATCCTGGAAAGCTTCATATATTTTAAATTTTAATAAATTATACTAACATGTTCGAGTTTGTTCCTTTTACTTCGTTCTGTCAAAAATGTCTTAACCGTTTTTTGTTTTCTAAATTCTCAAGCTATTTCAAAATATTTTATGGGCTTAATGACAAGCTGATCCGAAATGATGCGGAAAATATCAATAGTGCATTTAGTGGAGAAATCATCCAAATTCAAAAAAAAAACAAAAAAACAAAAAAAGAAAGAAGCAAAATGAGGAAGGAATGAAGATTTTTTTGCAGACAAGAAGGCGCTACTTTTCGAACAGAATTTTATTTACCTTTCGGCTGCTTTCGTCCACTTCAATTTTCACTGTTTGCTGAGATCCGAAATATGAGGGATATTTTCTTCTGTCTTACCCTTCGTGACAGTTTTCTTCAAAATTTTTTCCGATTACTTTTTTGTTTTACACTGTCATCAATTTCTCGGGAATATTTTCATTTTTTTTTTCCTCATAGAATATGCACTAAATGATTACTTGATCCTGTGGTCTCGTTTAGTTTAAATATTCCCTGCGATACTTTCAATCTTTTCTTAAAGTTTTGTCACAGATTCTATTTCGATGTGTACGCATGATATTAAGAAAAGCACTGCAATAAAGTACAATGAGAAATTTAATTGGACACTTTACATGTCTAAAGTTTTAAATCTATGAGTCTGAAAAGTCCTAAAAATTTTAAAATTTACGAAACATACAGACAATCGGTGGTGCCGAAATCCGGAATTCTAGAGATAGAAAAGTTTGGCATAGAGGTGAAAAAGATTAAAGGAATTGATCTGCATAGCATTCTTTTCAATAATTACCTTGATATTTGATGGAGTCGGGTCAATTTGCCTGGATCATTTGAGTGTCCAGTAATACTGTAACAAATGTTTTACTGTCCTGCACTATATGAACTTTGCAAGCTTATCATCTTAAAATTAACAAAAAAATGATTGGTTTGATTTCTTTTTTCTTTTCTAAACAGGCATTATAATTTCGACTTACTACCTCTGAAAATATGAATATTGACATTTAGATCTGAATTTAAATAATCTAAATATCACTGATAATAATTTGCCAGTGATGCATCCTTCGTGTGCAAACTGTAGCAGTTGTTGAATAACGGTGTGATAAGATGTTTTAGGTATTTTTATAAATTTGTCATAGATCGTAGATCTGAATTTCCCATGAAATTTTTCTTTGTAAGCTGCAAATAAAAAAATATTAAAATAATCGGGAAACAGAGATGTATCACAGATGCAAAGTTGCGAGATGGAGAAGTATGGCACATCAATCGACATCAGACAAGACGACGGCGTTCTACAGGGAGCGATGCCAAGTGGCATGGGGTACGTGGATTGGCACGAGATTGTGGCTTCACGTGCTACTTCCGATTACGCCAGGACACCGGTGATCGAATACCCAAAAGTGAACTGCATATACATCTCATGCGCTGGAAGCAGTTACCCCAACCCAATAACAAGTTCGTTTTTACTTCATGCTTCTCATGCTTCTCAATCCCCGGATAAGTAACAGATGCCACGAAATCAAGCACGAGATCGCGCAATTTAAAATCTTTTTTTTTCCAAATTTTATTGTGTTTAACTTACTGTTGACAAAAAATTCAGATCACTGCCGATGTTGGAGAACAATCGGATTCGACCGATTGTACAATTTATGGATTCGCTGGACACGACGCATGCACGAATGTCCAGATTCGTACCCGATTGTCTCTACAGCGCTCATGTTAAAGGTGCTACTGAGTCCTCGATTGTCAATTTGTGTGACGACAGCGGCGGATTGGTAATCATGTTTTTAATCTCCTGTTTCGTATCACTATCACAACGAGTGCCATGATCAGTTAACTGTCCTGCTTATTTTATGATAAGCGATTAACTAAGCGATAATCCTACCTGCTAGATAACAGTAATGAATTTCACTGAAAATATTCAATCATGTGCAACTGTAGTGCATTCTCAAGTCTATGACATTTCAACTTACCGGTTTTATCAATTAACATTTGATGTAAATTGTTTCGTTCATTTTTTGATTTACAAAAATATGAAAATTACAATTATTTGCAGTTTGGTACTCTGGCACTGCCGGACGGAACGTATCTCATAGAGCCAGTAAAGGACGATCAGATGCTAAGCAAACCATCATCGTCCAGGGCCCATATCGTGTACAAATCCCGATCTCATTCATTCCACAAATATGGTTTTTCCAGTTCTTCTTCACCCATTATTGCTACTACTCCTCTTACTACTACTGCTACTATTACTACTACTACTACTGCTACTACTCCTACCACTATTTCTGCTAATTCATATCCAACAAGTAATCATAGAAGTAATAATAATAACTCAGGCAACGACGTTCAAATTCATAACTACACTGCCTATCGCATTAGCAACGACAATGCCAATTACGATAATAACACTGCCCAATACACGACCATATTTGATCCAAATATCAATATCACCGGTATAATTTTTTTTTCACTTATTCAAAACTTTTCAACTTATACAATGAGTTTTTATCTTAAATTCTGACCTTTATTTCCATCTGCGGCATCGAAATCGTTCCGCAAACTGACCATCTCAAAAATAATTTTGACTACAAAGATACTAAGAGCACAGCTGAACGTAAAAATCTGACAAACCTGAATATACTTCTTGAAAATATTTCTTACCTCTTGAAAAAATCATTGGAATTACTCGGATATCAGTGTAGCGGTTTCAATACTTCCATTTACAAAATGTGTTATATTCACAGCAGTTGCAAATTAAAGATTCTTAAAACATCTTCAAAAGCAAAAAGGAAGATCTTTTCCTGTATCATTAAAGTCGGAGAGGAAAGAAAAATTAGGAATCGATTCAAAATGGTATTCCGGCATTTGGACGATTCATCACTTCAGATGTCAACATTCCTCATCATAATGCAAGGCGTATCTTACGAAGAGTCGTTAATAATTGATGTTATATTAGACTTATTAGCGAAATGCTTGTGCCTAGTGGTGCTTTAAGCTACTTTGTTGAATCACTGGTTAATCTAATGTTCAGAAAAGAAAAAAAAAATTTAACGGTTGTCACGCAAAGATATATGGAGTGCAGAAATGCAGGATTTTCTTTCATCAAACATTTCAAATGAGATCAAATACGTATAGATGGTATACTATTGAGGATATACAACTATGTTTAGTTAATTAATAGATTAATTTCTATAAAATTTATACATTAGGCATATAGAATAAGATAGTTTTTCCCCTTAAAGCTCGTTGGGAGATGATAAAAAAAAAAGAAAGAAAAGATTACGGTTTTATTTCTATCATTTTGTTGGAACGAATTTTATGTACTCAGAGGAAATTTGAAGAAAATGTTTTTCTTCTATTTCCAATTCAAAAATTGGAATAAGAAAGGAATTTATCTTTCGTTCGTCTGTATGAGTTCAGGATTTCAATCACGATCTACTAGTTGTTGTGTAAAGGTTTTCACAAAATGTTTTATATCAAAGAATCAAAACAACTTTGAGAACTGCTTCATGTAAATCAGACACCTCATGACCCATTCATTACACTAAAGTCCGGAAAAATATAATGGAGAGGGGGAACTTTTGCTAATTTCCTCATGGAGAGCATTGCCAGAATCCAGTGAATTAGTTCAAGAGTAAATCATTTCTCTGAATTTCAGTAACCAAAACAAATAGAGTTATTTGTTGCACCCAGAACCATCTTGATTGGGTATTCTATAAGGGCAGACGTAATTTTGAAAAATTGGAGAAATTGTAAATGATGAAGACGCGAAGGTGGAAAGAACTTTCAAGAACGCTAGAAAAATGGGTAGGAGCTCGTGCGAGAATGTACCTAAGTGTCCAAATTGTGGTTTCCTGTTAATTATCAAATGATCGGAGAGAAGGATTTTAAATCAAGTGTTCGTGAACCTTCAACTGCTATAAACAAAAGCTTTTAAACCTGATGTAATAAGACTTACCAAATCTTTTCAGATAAGTAAATAGAGTCAGATAATACGTTTCTCATAATCTACTATTTAAATTATTTTCTTTGCAGTGAGGAAAATGGGCTTCCTCCTGATATTGAGCAAATCAGATAATGGATAACTGGTGATCTTGAATGGACGATAGGGCTAGGGTTTCTACCTAAAGATCATATAGGATAGATAGTACAGAATTTTCTCGAGGTAATTAGAAATCGAATTGTCAGTTGTTCGACCTATCAGCAAACTGGCTGATAAACTAAATTAAATGAAAACTGATGCAGAAAATGCAAAAAAGAAAAAAAAAGAAAGAAAATTAAAGATTCAATCTTGGATCTTTTTTCAATCGGAAATGTTTTGAGCAGAAGATTTTGTCAAAAGCATTTTCTAAATGCTAAAAGCAACAAATGACTACAAACAAATTTGGAAAGAGAATTATTTAAAACGCTTGATGCTCGAGAAGGCTCTTTGGTTCGAATATATTACTAGTTGCAAACTGATAGCTTTAGCTGATGAGTTAATTAGTAAGGTTAAACTGGGGAAAGCATGTACTGTTGTTGTTTCAGATAGCTGGTTTGTCCGATCTCGTCGTTCGGCCAATTCCTGGGACCATTATGTTGAGGTGCTTGTTGTTGCGGATAATAAAATGCTTCTCTATCATCAAAATAATCTTGAAAATTATGTGCTTACACTTTTTTCGACGGTTTGTTTCTTCCTCCCATTTAATAGCGTAGATTGTCCAACAGTTAATCACCTAATCCCCAAAATATTAAATATGATCAATAAATAAAGAGAAAACTCGTCTGACTGTATTTTTCCAATCAGTTTAAAGAAGGTGTGAAAAAAATTTTTAACTATCTCTTTTTGTGATTGAGTTTCAATAGCCTCATTGAACCTCCATCATTGTTTCCCTTTCTCAGTATCTTCGTTAAGGAAAGTTGGAGGACAACTGGGCAGAACAATTTTTAAATACTATTTGCAACTATCTTTTTACCGCGTATAAATCTCAACGAACATTTGAACATTTTGATGTGACATTTTCGAGAAATTTTTCCATCCCATATTTCAGGTAGCTTCCATTTATCGACATCCAAGTTTACACGCTGCAATAAACATTATCGTAACACGTTTAATCGTTTTGAAACATGAAGCGGTTCGTTTTGTCTACTTAATGAAAAAAAAAAAAAGTGCACATTTCAATTATTACACTTTTGGCAACATTTTGCATAAGGAAATTATGGTGCTGCCGTGTTGTTGCACTATCCATTTACTCAATCCATATCAGGAAATGGATAGGGTTGTTCAATTGGAATGTTCCTATTCACTTTATCAGTTCGTAGACCAATTTCAAGGTGTAAATTACCAGTATACCCTAAATTTCATCTGCTAGTTCTTTTCAGAATAGATATGTCTTGCAGTGTCAGATACTAAGGCGGAAAGATCACTACTTATATTAGTAGATCAGTATTTAATCAAATTGCTGTAAATCATTGTAAATAAGTGATGAAATTATTGCACTAAATTAAGTAAGTACACTATGAAGTGATTGTATTCTAGGCTGGGCCACATATTAGTGATAATGCGCAAGATACGTTGCAACAATTTTGTCGCTGGCAAGAAACGTACAATGACAAGAACGATGACGCTCCAAATCATCATGATGTAGCCATTCTGCTCACACGACATGATATATGCAGGTTAAAATTTTCGAAATTACAAATCTCTAGGAAAAATTGAAATTCACTTCACTGTAGATACGAACTCATTTTATAATGAATGCATTACAGTTGCCTGTTTCATTACTATCTGGAAATTACTCGAATTTAACAAATACCGAATACAATCGTTCTAGCTTCTTTCATCAACTTGCACACATTGACTTCTCGGATGCAAGTCAAGCAGCCATATCTCCTCTTCCCATCCTCATCCTAGATATCACTGATTAAGAAGAAAAGCTTGATGTTTATGGTGATGTGTTAATTTGATACGTAAATGAAGACTATTTGTACCTAATTTGAATGATAGGGCACCAGGAAAATGTGACACACTTGGTCTCGCCGAGCTGGGCACTATGTGTGACTCGTTACGAAGCTGTGCAATTATCGAAGATAACGGCTTATCAGCTGCATTCACGATCACTCACGAATTAGGCCATATGTACGTTCTATATTTGTCTCTTTTTACAGATCATTTACATTATATTTACAAATCAAGGAATTAGAATACTTTAATACTTGACCTCAATTACCAGATGGATGGTATGTTGCTTACTCCTGAAAGTGGTTTCAGTCAGGAAGTTGTCGTTAGGGTTGGGGTGAGTCTAAATGATGTCATTTAATTAATAAAGTAAATACAATTAATTGCGTCATCACCGCATGAATGCATAATTTTAGTTTCAATATTCCACATGATGATGAACGAAAGTGTGGTCGCTACATGGCCCTAAACAAACACAATTACCATATTATGGCACCAACACTCGAATATAATACACATCCTTGGTCGTGGAGTCCATGTAGTGCTGCTATGCTGGCGAAGTTTCTCGAGTTAATCTTCATTTAATTTACTTTTTAATTTACGAAAGCCAAAACAATTCGTTCTGAAATTAAGTTATTTGAAGTCTTTTACTATAATTCCGTTTTATAAACTGTTCATTTTACAATGTTAATATGAGCACGGTTTTATGCTTTTTTTTTTAGCGCGAATCGAGCTCAGACTCAATGTATTTTGGATCAGCCGATCGAACGTCGCTATTATGATCGAATGTTTGAAGATCCGGCACCTGGAGCAATGTTTTCTGCTAATCAACAATGCCAGTTTGTATTTGGGCCATCGGCTGAATTATGCCCTTACATGGTAGCTGCTTACCTGATTTCAAACTTTGGATAATTCATTTCATATAGTTACTCCTGAATTTATAAAAGTCATCCCTAAGTGTTGTGGTGTAATTGGAACTAAAACTGCTAGAATTATAACGTTTTCTTTTTTATTAGTTCCAGTAATATCATCACTACCATTCCGTTTGTTTCCAAGTTCAGGAAAATTTAATGGTTTTTTTGTTTTCAGCCAGCATGTCGTAGGTTATGGTGCGCTACATATTATGGATATCAGATGGGTTGTAGAACGCAACATATGCCTTGGGCTGATGGTACACCTTGTGGTGATAATCAGGTTAGTATTACCAATATATTTATTACTTATAATGCTCAATTATATTATTCGATTTCTAAAACGATTATCCGCCATAACAAATTTAAATGTTATCAAACAATTTAAATTTAAATGAAGCTAATCATGATACTTATATTCATTAGCATTACTGCTATATACGATGCTCTTATTATAGTGGTGTCACCGTGGTGAATGTGTAGGTATGGCTCCTCAACAACGAGCTAAACTGGATGGTTCGTGGGGTGAATGGAAAAATTGGGGCGATTGCTCCAGAACTTGTGGTGGAGGTATACAGAAAGCCTTACGTGATTGCGATAATCCAAGGTTCTGTTACTGACTTTCATTCACAGTCATTCTTTTCTATCACTATAAAGAAATTAGGATATTATGGTGAAAGCTGCTGTTGATCTCTTTTCAACCACTTAAGGTTATATGGACTATAAGTGGGTAAGAAGAGATCAGCAGTAGCTCTCGATTTTTTTTTTCTTGAATTAGTTTTTATGGATACTGACGCTCAGTACCTCACAGTTCTTTCGTGTGTTTACAATGTTTTTGAATGCTTTTTTTTACTGAAGAGTCTATAGCTATGAGATAAGGGATTTTCATTCAGTTTCGGACATTTTTAATTGAACATCTTTCGAAAATGAGATAAACTAGGATTTAAAAAGTGATGATAAATGACATAAAAAGTTTGCTTACAGACCTAGCAATGGTGGAAAATACTGTATTGGGCAAAGAGAACGTTATCGACCATGTAATATCCAAGATTGTCCATGGGATACACCTGGTTTCCGAGAAGTACAGTGTTCGGAATTTGATAATCAGGATGTTGGAATTCATGGGGTCCCTCCCAAATCACGTTGGTTACCCAAATATACCGGAGGTTCGTTACTCTTTGTTAGTTCATTCAGTGTTGATTTGGCAATGATGTGTCACTAACGCATTTTATTTCAGTAAGCGACAACGAAAGATGTAAACTATATTGCCGTATTAGCGGCTCTGCTGCATTCTACTTGCTTAAGGATAAAGTTCTGGATGGCACTCCGTGCTACCGGCATGGGGATGATATGTGCATCGATGGCACTTGTCATAAGGTTCCTGATCTTTCTCGATATAAGTTTGGAAAAATTTCTAAGGTATTATGAACACGTGATGTTTTAAAATATTTTCAGGTTGAACGAGGTACTTTAGGCTCAAATAAAAGAATTTCAGGCTGGTTGCGACCATCGTTTGGGTTCAGAAATGCGACGTGATAAATGTGGGATTTGTGGTGGTGACGGAAGCACATGTCGGGTTGTATCAGGTAACTACAACGAACGTGGATCATTTGGCTACAACGAAGTTTTGAAAATACCTGCAGGTTCAGCAAATATCGAGATAACACAACATGGATATCGCAACCAAAAAGAAGACGATAACTATCTTGGTAATTGATCCATGAGAGTATTTCACCAGCATAACCTGATCTTCCATTACTGCGTATTTCTTTGATAATGGGTTGATCACATACTCGACTTACCATCAGAACCAAATATCTAACCATTTTAGTTAATTCACTCATTAAGTTATCAGTCGCTTATGCAATCATCCACTTATTGGGTTCTACCACTTTTTCTCTTGAAGAAAATATTGCGTTAAGGAGAATCTACCTAACTGTTACCATTCTCTCTCTGCAGACTCATTGCAAGTATTACATGAACATGAAATCTATGAAGTTTTAAAGTATAATAAGAGCTTTTATGTTGAACAATTATCAATGAAACTTTCTTGTAAGAATATTGATAGTTTTTATACTTGTTACTGCATAAGAGTAATACATGTTATAGCTTTGCGAAATGCCAATGGAGAATTTCTGCTTAATGGTCATTATCAAGTATCAGTTTTCCGACAACAAATTTCCATACAGGACACGGTATTGGAATATTCTGGAAGTGATCATGTGGTTGAACGAATAAATGGCACTGGACCTATACGGTTAGTTTGTAATAGTTTGTAAACCACTTTTTTCGTTCTTTTTTTTTCTTTTTTTTTGTTCTTTAGCAAAAAGAAATGAGAGAATTGGTTATTTCACGTTAATGTTTCTAGGACTGATATTTATCTTCATGTATTGTCGGTTGGAAATTTATACCCTCCAGATATACATTATGAATTTATGGTACCAGCACAAAATGTAGGATTTGGATATGAAACATCAGTGACAAATTACTACTGGCGTATTAGTGAACGTTGGTCAGAATGTTCCTCATTATGTCAAGGTTGTCTCCTTGCAAATATCTTTTTGTCTAATTTTATAGACTTCTGGTTGCGATCATAAATTGCATCTGAATCCTGACGCACGTCAACAGAACTTTACTCTTGACGTTCGTTATGATATTCGCACTGTCACGAAAGAGGAATCTTAGTAATATCTTCCTGTAAGAAAGTAACGTACCATTTCTCGTTTATCGATCTTAATCTCCTGCTTACTTTGATTCTGATGTAATGCTAGTTTTTAGTACCTGCTTCATAATTACAATAAAAAATCTTTCAACAAAGTATCGAATTTTGATATATTCTCCAATGATTTTGGAATGTCTTTCCAATTTTTTCTCTTAATTTAAGGTCAGCAAAAACAAGAGCTTATTTGTGTTGATGCAATATCAAGTCGGAGCGTAAGTGACAATTTGTGTGTATCTCATCGTCCGCCAACTGAAACACGAATGTGCAATATTGATTGCACCATCAAGTATCATTTTCACTTGCCCTTCTATGCTATGCATAAGGGTGTAATTTCTTTTAAATGATATCCTGATGTGTTGATAATAAAAAGATATACATATATCATGGGGTTGACTACAGGTGGCGTGTAATGCCGATCGGACAGTGCAATGCAACTTGTGGACGTGGTGAAAAACGCCAAAAAAGCGAATGCATTCGAAGTTACGTAGATGGACGTGAAACCGTTATTTCTGATTTACAATGTCATGAATTAAAGAAACCGAGTGACCATGCACAATGTTACGTGGATTGCTCAGGGCGGAAGTGGACATACACGGAATGGACACCGGTATGAATCATGTTTGAAGTTGTGAGGAACCGAATGATGATAATAGTGTGCATAAATCTGAAATGAGAAAGAATTTCAACATGCTTTAAAGATATACTACGATTCATTGGATGCATTTCTTAATACAGAAAGTCATACTCAACATTTTGCAGTGTTCTGAATCATGTGGCATATCTGGTATCAGTCGTCGACAAGCTTACTGTAGCGACCATGCAAATCGACGCTTGGATGATCGTGCTTGTGAGCAAGCAATTAAGGATAAGACGGAGAAGGAGTGCAATCGAATGCCATGTCCCAAATGGGTCTATGGTGCATGGTCTGAAGTATACTAATTTCTATTCCTTATTGGTTGAGTAATTTGAACAAAATAAGATCTTATCGTATTATAGCTTTCAAAGATGTATTGCCGCTCAGTTACAGTTCAATTTGCATCTGATATTGCTGAGGTAGTATAAATCGAGGGACTGTTGCAGTGTTCTCGATCGTGCGATGGAGGTGTCAAGATACGCCATGCATCGTGCCAAGATGCGGCAGGTCGTGAAGTACACTTGACGATGTGCAACGGCAAAGAAAAGCATGACTGGCAGAAGTGCAATGAGCAAATCTGTACGCAGTGGAGATTTGGCGCATGGGGCAGTTGTTCGGTGAGTTGTGGTGATGGTATCGAAACACGTGATGCGGTTTGCACCGATCTGAATGGCAGACATCTCGACCAAAGTGAGTTTCAGTTCAATTTTCCTAAAAAAAGAAGTGATTCGTGTGAATGCCGAACAGTTTGCAGCAGTAGCCAAGGTCACTTCATCCTCGCACTGTGAGGGTTGTGCTATAAAGGTTGCTTCCCACACATGATAATTTTTCTACAGAAAAAACTATGACTAAATCGGAAAGTTGGGAAATTACGAACCGAAATATTGTGGGTTCTATATGCATTCCTTTCCTTTATGGTCGAAGTTGTTGAGAGAAAATGAAGTTTTCTAGCTTGCTAATTAGCACATGTTGAGGTTTGTGTGACCGTCGCGAACGAATTGTACAAAAGCCATGTCATCGCACGGTATGTCCCAGTTGGCGTCTTGGATTATGGAGTGCGTGCTCGGTGTCATGTCTTGATGGTTGGAAAACTCGGCATGTGTCTTGTGTTGATGCTAATAGAAATGAGGTATCCGATGAGCAGTGCTTGAGACAGGGTGAAGCTCGACCCCAAAGTCATCAACCGTGTAATCAAGGGCCATGTCCATTTTGGCGGACATCCGATTGGACTAAGGTTCCTGTTCTTTTTTGAGACTTTTCTGTTCCGCACTGAAAATATCAAACATATTTATACTAGTCAAACATATTTGTACATATTTGTACTAGTCACTTCTTAGTTCTCATTATCATTCTATAAACTTCCCTCTTTTCTTTTCCGCACCTAAATTTTCTTCACCTTGTCAATTAACTAAGAATAAAAGAGTGGAAAACTCTTTCAGTGTTCGGTATCATGTGGTGTCGGTGTAAGGGCAAGGAACGTTGAATGCATATATCGAGATCAGGTTGTTGACGGTTCATTATGCAGTGACACTCATGTAGCAAAAGTTGAGCGGTGTAGGTAAGTAGTTAAACTGTTCCTTGGTACTTCACCCTGTCTGAAGAAATTCTCAGGTGTCTCTGAATTATTGTCTTCAGGAGTTCTTATATTATAGCTTACTGCCATGCGCTAAATGGAAAGTACTTCCATGGTCGCACTGCTCTGTAACTTGTGGTACTGGTCAACAAATTCGCACAATACAATGTTTACGAGGAAAATCTATTGTTCATGAAAGTGAATGCGATATAGTAAGCATATCCTTTCCATAACACCAACTAGTGAGGATTGAGGATAACAAATGTTTGTCTAGATCATTTTTGCAGAAAGGATCTCTCATATATTTTGATATTTTACTTCCATTTTGATGAAAAATCAGGCTTATGTATTTCCCGGATTGTTCTTTGTGCCTCATTTTCGTAATAATACAATTGTATTCAGAACCCCTTGGCTTTTTATATCTCTTTCCGTGCTGTGGGGATCAGTTGCGTTGTCAACAATTCTTTGCATATGAGGGAGGGTTAAGGAGAATCAGTAATAAGCAAAAACAAACTGATTACAGGCAATGCGCCCAAAAACAGAAAAAATCTGTGAGCGTGACAATTGCGAAGTATTTGCACAAAATGTGATCGAGAGTACAGTAAGTGATCAACCAAAAATTCGATGGGCTATTGGGCCATGGTCTGATTGCTCGCGAACATGCGGAAATGGAACACAGCGTCGTCTTGTAGTATGTCGTGATCATGTTCGTGACCTTACCGACACATATTGTCAGCATCTGGAACCCATTGAAACCTACCGATATTGCCAGGTTAAGCCATGTGCGCAATGGACTGTTGGACCGTGGAAATCGGTACATTCTGATTTGTTCTCTTTTTTTACAATCTTGTGAAAGAAAATATCAAATAAATCGATTCATGCAGGGTCACACTTCCTTTTTTAATTATGATTACCCTACAGAGTGTTGTAATAATGTTTTGAGATGGTAAATGAAGCTGAGCATCTCATATTATATCATCCATCATCAAACACTATTCCATATAACTTCTCGTTTCTGCAGGAAAACTCTACTGATAAGTACCATCAGCGAATTTGACTACTTTTGATGATTTAGTGAGGAGTTTGAAGCTATATTAACCCTTATTGTTTTATAGTAGACCATAAGATATTCCAAGGTATTGCTAAGCCCTTTATAAGAACTTATAGCAAAGAGTAATGCAAATGATCTTTTCCTGAAAAGTAAAGAGTCGAGACAGAATCAATGTTGTATGAATCTTTCGAATAAAAACTTCAAAAAATGGGAATTTAGTGCTCAGTTACTTGTGGCGTACATGCAACAACAGATCGTCGCGTAAGCTGCGAATCGACGGAAGGTAATGAGCAAGTACGGGAAACAGACTGTGATTTAACAATTCGTCCGCAATCAATCAGATCGTGTAACTTGAATCCATGTCCATTGGGAGAACCACCTCTTGGGTCTTGGATTACTAAAGACTGGGAAAAGGTTTGTATTGTTTAGATACATGAAACAGTTCTTTATATTGACTATGCATTGAATCTTTGGGAGTCTTCCGATATCAACCTTCACTCCGTGTCTTTTAATTCATCAGTTACCAATAGCTTTTGATAATAATGTGCTGTTTAATTACGGCTAGAATTTTTAGTGTCCAGTTTCGTGTGGAGGTGGTTGGCGCAGACGTCTGGTTACATGTAATACTAGATTTTGTAACGAAGAAGAAAAACCGGTTCAATTTGAGCGTTGTAATCAGCAAGAGTGTGTCAAAATGTCCAACGTCTGGCAGATGTCACCTTGGTCACATGTATGTCTCTTTCAATTCGAAGTTAAATGTTGCAATTTTTTAAAGAAATTACCTGTCCGGAAAAGGAGTAACGATGGTAGTCGTTTAAAATAATTATCAACAATAAGCATATCTTATATCAAGCAAATAAATCGTTTTCTTCTTTTTCATTTCGGATAACGAACAAATTTCAGTGTCCAGTGACATGTGGTGGTGGTACACAGAAACGTACAGTTTGGTGTGAAGATGGAAAAACACGTGAAAGGGTACAAGATGCGGAATGTTTAGTCCCTGAAAAACCATCCAGTGTTCGAGAGTGTAATAAGGTCAAATGCCAAACAACATCGATGACAAATGAATACTATCACTGGTATGCAGGAAAATGGAGTCCGGTACGTACAAGTAGACGTAGATATCATAGAATACGTGGGAAATAATATATTCCTGTTTCAGTGAAGTTTTTTTTTTGCTTCTTTGTTTTTCATTTGCTCGCTCCGCTTACAATATTTGTTTTGTCTTGTCATTTTCGGTCTGTAAATGTCTCTCCATAACCAGTGCTTGTTGAATACGACAAATGAAGTTATATACGTACAAGTACATCACGTTGCGTGCTCTCACCTTTATCGTCTGTCACTTCCACTGCTCATTCAAATGAACGGCTACGAGTTCGAACTTACTCACGCGTGCTTTATGCAGTATGACGTCCAGTATACGTTGAAGTGTTGTTGTCTGATACCTTAACAACAGCGAAAATCACTAATATGATCAGTCGTTTTGTGTTACAGCAATCACCCAACTGCCATTTTCGTTCTATTTTTTTTTTCTTATTTTCCACATCTGCACAAACTATCCTTGAATTATGCATCGTTGAACATTCATCCGTATATACGACAGCAAGGCAGGCAAAGATTCGCAGCCTATTAAAACAGAAAATAGAACGAATCCATGATTTTCTCTTTCCATAATTCTATTTTCGAATTCATGATTCATTCTATTTTCTCTTTTAATTGACACTGGCTATATTTCATCTTAGCTTTCATATCTTAGCTTTTAGTCTTTCTAAAAGCTTCCGTATTACTGACTATATTTCTATTGCATTGCTTTCAACATCGGCGCAGATGTCTCTTTGAATGGAAAAAGTTAATGAAGACGGAACATTTTTGTTAGCTCATATTTTTTGATAAATCTTATGCCAAGATCAAAATCTGCATATTGATTAGGCATTTTCTCTTTTCAATAAGGATGATTGATGTATTTTCTATTGACATTTTAATCAGAATATTGTCGATATCGTGAAATAATTTTGTATAAGATAGAATAAAATAGTCTTCCTGAGACTATCATTCATATTCCGATATTTGCTTTCTATGAATCACTCAGTTCTGCTTTCCAGTTTTTTGAATCATCTGCCATTTTACTGCCACTTTGTTCAGGCTTTTATTGTCTACCGCTTTATCAGTCTGTCTTCTGCCGCTTCATCAATGATAAGTGATGTATGACTGTTTTGACACTGCCTTTGGGAGTATGTCACAATTTCCATAAAATTCCTAACGCATGTTTGCTTCATTTGATAAATTAAAAATAAAAGAGTTGTACATGAGCTTTCTTTAAATTAGCAATTGGAGATCGATAAGACCAAAGATACATATCATCTAATTAAGTAAGTTGTCAAAATTGTACCTAATAACACTGATCATTACCAGTGTCATGCTCTCATTATTACTTGTCTTTTTTTTGGCAACAACAAAATGCAGTATAAACATGAGCATACAGTATGATATGCTGTATAAACTTCTTATATTGACTACAATGCTGAATAATTTATCAGCAGGATAATTTTTATTGATCAATAATCATTTCCATTCCATTTAGCGCGGTGCTACTGATTATCGGAAAAATTTTCTTTTAGGCGAAAGATTAGAAACAATGGTGCTCATAGCTTTGTTTCAACAGCCATTCTGAAAAGCATTGTATTTTCTGTCCGCTATTTTTGTATTTGTTGTCTCCTGCACTACAACTTCACCCAACTTTATTTCAGAGGTAAAGTTGGGTGTCAGAAGCGCTGCTTTATTTATTTAGATCTTATAGCCAAGCTAAAGAGTATCAATACTTTTTCAATTTTTATTCCAGAAAAATTTGTTCATTTAGGAGCTCGATACTAATCCTTAGTGTTTTGCCATATTAATATCTCATAAAGAGTTTAGCATAGGACAAATAAGTAAAACTCTCCCGGGGTTTCATAATGTTACTTTACTTGTGACAATGACAAATAAAGTAATCCTAATCTAATAATCACATTCTAATGCTATTTGTTATGGAAATTTGCGTGCTTTGTAAAACAATACTGTGATTCTTTTATTCTTTTTTATTTTTTCTTTTCATGAATGGTCTTTTACTCAATTGTATCACTAGCTTTCCCGTATTTCATATTATTCAATTTTATTTATTTAATATTTGTTAGTGCATGTTACTTTCTCTTTTCTGTTCTGAACAAAATTTTCTCTATTTCTTAAAAAAGAACCAAGCGATATTTGCTTGTTAATACTTTTACAAAATGACGTTATTTCGAAATTCGCTAAGATATAAAAAATTATTCGTTCTTCGATGGCTTGTTTTTGCACTCATCTTCCTGAATTTTAGATCGAGCAGGTAGATAAATATTCCAGTTATCCATTTATCAGACCTATGTGGAAGATTTTAGATTCGACAGTATAAAAAGACAAAAAAAAATCTCAAAAATTTTTGTGCGCTCGGCAGATGATTCCTCACATGATAAGACAAATGGTAAGACTTGCATTTATCAGGACTATCGATTTATCGTAGTTACAATTCGCAAAAAAGGAAAAGTCTGCTAACTTAATTACTATAAAAAGCTTCAACTTACGTAATTACTTAGCTTGAGGTTCAATGTTGCTGGATTTTCTGGATGGAAGTAATCTATAATGTTGTGTGTCATTTGTGCATGGCTTCATCGTTTATGTAAATATATCTTTCGAATCCTCGTAATATTTGCTGTGGTTTTGTTGGTTTTTCTATTATATTACTATGTTCTTTTGGCTTGTGTGGTTGTGTTTATTATCGATTGTGATCTAACCAATGTGTGTTCTCCATTCTTTTATATCTGGATATGAATTCCTGGATTACCAGCCTGAAACTTCTGGAATTTCTAGTATTCAGTTTGTTCCATCTCGAGAATTAGGATGAAAATCTACTAATTTTAACTCGTTTACCTTGCTTGCTGTTTGTGCTTTGAGATGCAGTATATTTCAAGTCTACGTATTTACTTTCCCACTTAATTTTCGAAAAAGCATCCATTTGGATAAGCGTAGCATCAAATAATATTGTTTGGTAATATCCTGAATAACATTCGCTTCCATGCGCATTTGTTTAATGAGCTTTTCAGTCTGGCTTATTTTATTCCCATCCCAACTTACCTGGCCTATAATCATGCTTACCTATAATCATTGTCCAGAAAGTAACCTAAACGTGATTTAAATTTAAACGGCATGCTCTTGAATTATTGCGGCTAATTTTGTTTTTGTTTTTTTTTGGTTTCTTCCTCTAAGCATCCATAGTTTTGCTTTTGCATTTCAGTGTTCGACAACTTGCGGGCGTGGTGTTCGTAAACGTATTGTGTCATGTGTCAATTCACATAGTCATTCAATAGCATCTAAATATTGTGATCCGGCAAAGCGGCCAATTGATTCCCATCGCTGTCGAATGACGCACTGTCCACGATGGAAGACTGGGAAATGGTCAATGGTGAGTGAATGATGTTAAGAAGTATACTTCTTAAATATATTAGAATGTGATATCTTGTCATGAAGTTCGGAGTATACTTGTTAGCTGTGCTCGAAGGTGTCGTCCAAGAGTGCTAGATTATATCTGGAATATGTGGTTATTGGAATACTTAACGAAACTATTCAGCCAATTAGAGATCCAGAGTACTCGAAGCACAGATTACCATTCCATCGATTTCTGTATTCCACAAAATCCGTCCGTCCATACAAATATATTTTCGTGGCAATTTATATTATAAAAAAAAAAGAGGAAAAAACGCTTTACGAATAAATGATCAAGTCGGTATTAATGTGGATTGGGTCGGATACACTGCTTTTCAACACCAACTTTGATGTTTACTTATTCAGAATCCAGTAACTTTGCGCTGATCAAATCTGATAACTTCAAAAGTTTTTTGATCAAATCCATCTCGTTCAGAAGTCAAAAGAGTTACCTGGTTGCTCTTATTGATGCTTACAAAAAATTCCTGTTTGCAAATAGCAAAAGGAAGCCTGGAAGAATAGTTGCGAAAGAGAAGGTCATTCTTTCAAAGGAATTACTATGGATAGTATGGCTGTTCAAGTAGTCGGGATAAGATCAACTAAAAGATGCAGTTAGTCGGAAGTATAGCTGTCTTTGGCACATAATTGCATGTGTAATTTTGGCTCTCAAAAATCAATTTTTTTGTCTTGGCTGTTGCTGTTGCTGTTCTCATCTAAAGGAACAGAAATTGAACATTTGTTTAATAATCAGGACAAGAGTAGCAAAGGTATTTAACAGGATTGGTTCCTTCACTACCATTGTGTAGTTTTTTTCTTCTGCAGAAAGTAAGGTCCAGACCTAAGATTATTATGTTGCACATTGCCATTAATGAAATAACAGCACCAGTAACTCTGATGAATTTTACTAATGCTCCTTTGAGGCGCAATTTCCTTCAAATTTGGGCTTCTCATATATGTCGTCAATGTGAAAGTTGACATTTAGTTCCAACGACCGTCAATGCGTGTAAGTAATCTTGACATTCTTTTATAGATTTATTGTGTTCATATCGTGTCGTTATTTGCAGTGCTCGGTGACATGTGGTAAAGGAGTTCGCACACGTGAGGTGATGTGTCAGAAAGGTCGGCGAACCCATTTGCCGGATATGGAATGTGCAAAGTTGCCAAAGCCATTGGAAAATTCAATGTGCATGACAATGTCTTGTCCTGCATATCACTGGGCAGCTACCCCATGGTCTAAGGTTGGGAATATTTACCCATATTCTTCTTCATATCCCTCCTACACTATAAAATCTCGCATATACATTTTGTGGCAATCAAGGAAAAATTAGAGAAATTTTGTGTGCGCGCCTATTTTGCGCAATATTCTGAATGAAAGAAGAAGCGCTGGCAACTAGAAAGGTGCAAAGTATTTGTACGAGAATGTAAAGATTTGGAGGATAAATTTAGAAATCAGTGGGCAACGAATATATAAATATGATAGAAGTGAAAAAAAAAGTAGCAAGATTCATTAAGTTTCATTTCTGCATTCATCTCATGTCTATTACACACACAAAAAAAAAAACTACGTCCGTGAAATATGACATTAAGGCAGTGGGATAGAGCTGAGAAGTGCATAAGTATGAAGCGAACTTAGGCTGCTTGTTAAGTTCAGCGTT